GGTCTCACAGACGCGGGTATAGGAAGGTTAACTACCAATTACATTGCCTGARGTGCAAATATTCGGAATCGTTGTCATAACCAAAAACATATTTTATTAACCACCAAACTTTGGCAATTATGCTTTATGGGCGGCCTCAAAACAAAAAAGTACAGCAATTGATTAACAAATAATAATGAATTTAACAATTGSGATAATACATCAGATTGGCATGAMAAATTCAAGAATTRATAAATTYTACCTAAKGAGTAGAGCTGAAATATGCAACATTTCGAACATAAACATTTGCATTTTCTTACTTGTTTACCCTATGATGAAATTCAATATGTTAACAAAATTATGTTTATTTCAGCACTTAACGCATTTAAAGTTCTAATACAGATGGTGAAATGTTCAATATGAGTCATAACAAAAAAAAAAAATAATAATAATAATTCAAAAGATTAAAGCATATACATACCTATGCAGATATGGGTATACCTACAGTGGATCAAAAAAGTTTAGGCACACTGTAAACATAAATGTTTATCCAAAAATTACAGGATTCTCTTTAAGTTTACGAAAGTAATAATAATCATTTCATATTTTACATATTTTTAAGATAATGAATTTATAATAAAAATATTAAAGATTCTACATAAAAAAGTTTAAGCACACGTACATAGGGAAACATTTGTTTTAAATCCCTTTTTTTATTATAATATTTCATTAAACTTCTTTAGCCTGAATAACTTTTTCTAAACTTCGACGAATTTTTCTTTAAAATTTTGAAATATGATTATCATCAATAAACATGCCTTCCCACCCCGCCGACATGTTTCACAGTCTTAATTATATTATTTTCCTGGAGCTTTTTGTTTAATTTTCGGAMATTTTTTTGCGCACGATCGGAACCAAACATACTAAATTTCGATTCGTCACTAAATATTACTTTCTTCCAGAAAGATTCCGGTTGATTAACATTAAGTTTGGCGAAATTCAGTTTYTTATTTTTTATTCGTATTAATGGCTTAAGTCGTGCAACTCGCCCATTAAAACCAGCTTTGTGTATAGCGTTACGTTCCATTTTGGATCAAAGTTTTTTTTTTTTTTTTTTTAAGGCGCAACATAACCTTAGTACTTAAGTTACTTAAGTGCATCGAAATGTTGACTAAAAAATATTGTAATTTCAATTTTAAATACACTTTTCAGCAAAGACAAACCTGTGCCAAAACTTTTTTGATTCACTGTATATACAATATATACACATTCAAAATGTTACTACCGTAAGACGCTGATCATGGAAAAAATAAACAAATTATGTGCAAAGTATGTGATAAGAGAACAATTTGCAACTGTCAAATCAGCAAAAATAAAGGTACAAATGTGCGTTCAAATTATACTAATTATACATTAACGTACAAATTCCCCGAATTACTTTACATAYATGTATTATGACTCAACTTGCCGGTATTCCAGGTACTTACTTGCCAATACGGTTCCACGCTGCTTTGAGGAACAACAGTATCCACAACAGCTCATAATAAATATCGTCAATACGACAATTGTCAAAAGCGCCCAGAAATCCATTTCTTCAATGTCGAAATAATCTAAGAGATCAAACAYGTCCGTGATGAAACTTTCTCCGGAAGCCCTTTACACTTAATTTTCAGTTGGAAGAGCTATTCTTATGAATGTCTACGTATGTCGAGCACTTGTTGCAATTGTTCTGAAGAGTCTGCAATAGAGGAACCTTGCCTTAGTTGAATATAATTAATTATAATTTCATACTTCTAAAGGTTTTTACAAAGCTCTTTACTACGTAGAACAAAAATTAAATTATTTAATTAAGTCCAAATAATATATGTATTTAAATTCTCTTAATTAGGAACTAATTCGCTAATATTAATCCGCACCTTGCCTTATGAACGTGATATTTTCGATAAGATTTTTGTTATCTTGTGCTGTTTATATACTTGTTGTTGGTTTTCGCAGTTGCCTAAAGGTAATTCTGATTGGAAGTAGTGTTGCCAWACTAAACCAATTAGGACAATACAAATATAAATTGTATGAACCACAAATTTTCCTCAAACATTTATTAAGATAAATGAAAAAATTCGAAAATTTATATTCAATTATAGCTTACATAATATATGTACAATGAAAACTATTAAAATAAGCCTACATATTGCTAGACTTACAAAGTTAAGGAACTTTGTTTTTCATTACATTTGRAACAAAGACGCATCGAGCCGTGTTTAATTAGTACATACTTTTTAGTGTGAAACAGTTTGGATGCACCTTATTTGCTTCTATTGTAATCATTATCATTTATAAATTTATGTTTTTTTTTTTTAAATTATAACAGTAACTCTGCTTACTGTTTCCAAAACTGATTTTTATTTATAAATATTTAATTTTGAAAAGCCTGAATCTAACCGATTTTTGCGRTGTATTATTGTGAATGATACCGAAAGTTAAGTTGCTTTTATCAGCTGTTTATTTTATGAATTCAATCACATTTCGTTCGTAGCAGTTTGAAACGTAATATTTTTTCTTTCTATTTACATAATAAACTATTTTTGTCTAAGTTATTTTTTACCCGTAATGCTACAATGCGGATTGGTCGTAAGCAAAAACAAAAATGGATTAGGCGAAGGGGCTCCAAACGTAATAATAATAAAAGCATTGCTGCTACTGTTGCCACAGCTAACGATCCCAATGCAACCTTTTTGACCAAACTGAAGCGTAAACGAAATAGAGGAAAAGCGCGCAAAAAGTTCCAGCGATTSTCAGCAAACGAAAAACTATCAGCTCAAAAAATATTAGCACAAAAATTGAACAACAGACAATCAGAGTCAAAAGACAGTGGTCCAAGTAACCCACAAATAGTTAGTGCAATGGTAAGTGAGGTACAATATAGTTATAACCATAGCTGAGCTGTTCCTGTAATATTTCAAAACATAACTTTATTTCTTTCTGGTATTATGAACTATTTGCATTGACAATATCAGCGCGTGCGTAGTTAAAATAGTCACAAAAGTGTGGTTCCTATATGTCCTTCAGTGGTTACAGGGTTTACCCAGAATTGCCAACTTATATTTAATTTGTGCCTTTATCTGTTATGATTTACTYTTTATTTTATGCCTATTTAATGATTCTTGTTAGTGTTAGGTTTGATAATCTTGATAGCTTTTGTAAGAATCGTAGAACAATCCAAACTTTGGATTTTTRCTTAATAATTTATTTTAAGACACCTGTTAGATAATACATATACATATTATAACGGCTAAAAAGCCCATCCTGTTCGAAATTCACCACCCTTTTAGCCAGCCTGCCCAAACCTACAAGTATGAATTGTCAAAAGTAAGACTGAAAAAATCGTTTACTCTGGTTGAATCATCAATATTAGCGTCAAGGAAAATTGTCTTCCGCGTATATTAAGTATTCATTTCGCTTTTGTTAGTGTATTCTTGTTAAATTAAACAAATCTTTATACAAAATTATTAAAACTGTGTGAACTTAAATAAGAGTAAATGGAAGAATTGTGGCATAAAGTGTGCATTCACTTCGCTGTCCCTGAGGATGTGGCCAAAAGCTGGTACACACGCATATATCAGCGACTTAATGAAAGSCATTCGAAACGTTACTATCATAATTGGAATGAAATGATGCAGCATAAACACGAACACTTGCTGCATTGTAAGCCTRCTTTGGTTTTGGCCGCATTTTTCCAATACTATTCTTATGATGGCATTCAGCCTTGTGCTAAAGAAAATTGTGCAGCATTTGAAGAATTTTGTTGCGATGCATCATTGGATGATGTAAGTATTCAGCTAGTATATTTGTAAACGGTAGCAGTTATTTTYCTTTCTTTTAGCAAGAGTCCAAAAACTCAATATTAAAACTTTTGGGCGATAAATCTGTGGAAAATGAACTAGAAACCACCTTTGAAGACGACGCTAACATTCTGCAGGATTTGGATTTGGTCATATTAGCGTAAATATAATGATATTAACTAATTATAGATTAAAACGTGTTTCAAATACATAGACATTTTTTTTTTTTTTAAATTCGTAGTGCCAGTGGTGAGAACTATAAACGTTACTGCCAATTACTGCGTATGGAATATGAGCATATGAGCGACGTGGATTATAAAAATATGCGTTTGAAGGTAACTTAAATATAATCCTAAAACAATGTAATTGTAGCGTCATTTTCTAATTTTGGCATTTAGGTGCTGCAAACATTACTAAGCATACCAAATATTTTTTCAACAACGGAWTTTCAAACTCGTTTTGAAGCTGCAGCTCGTGCTAATATGAAAGAGGAAATAAGCACTCTTAAAGTATAATCGTTTATAAAATTGTCGGTTTTATTGATTTAATTTCCGGAAATTCGACTTTCAGATCTGTACGTAATATTTGATGAATTTCGAAATTAGAAATATGTAAACGCGTTGACCTTATTATTACACGATATATTAAACAGATACTAAAAGAAAAATATGTATAGCTAAAATCAAAAAATTTTAGAAGATGCAACTCAATCAAATGAAAGTTAACTTGAGAATTCCAAACAGTACTTACACGTACATATTATATTTCAGATACATACATATATACTTAGCTAGTAGTTAGGTTGCATTCGCGGACATAATAAATTTCGTATGTGTTGTTAAAATGTTGTTGTATTATTAAACGCAGGCAAATCTCAACGGTGTCAAATTGAAAAAGTTAAGAGAAAATATTAAACCCACCTAGCATGTATAATCTGGCTTAGTATTCAACAAACAACCGCTGCACCGCAAATGCACAAATGAAATATTTATGAAATTCTAATGTTGTCTATTTTCTCTGTATTTATTGTATGTAAAATAAATGAAAATAAAYTAGTGAAGCAGCAATGTGTTTTATTAAATTAACAGTCTGTTYTTTAGATAGAGTAAAACAAGAAACTTGAAATATATGAGTAAAGGTAAAAGAGATGTATAATGTTTTCTATGCATTTTATTTTTGCCTKCGCTCATAATTTTGGAACTTGCATTATTCTATCAAAGAACACGCATATAATAATGTAACTACACCGATGGAAACCACGCAGGTAAGTATAAGAAACAACAAGCTAAGTAGTAAGCCATAAAACTGGTATAATATATTCAAGGTCACTGGATTGAGTTCTCTTTTATTATCAAAGTAATTGCATATGACAATAACAACGAGAAAATACGGTAGCTAGAATACCCTTCACAGGTATATGGGTATATCTTGATTTTGATCGTCCAGTTTCTATGGCAGCTATGTGCTATAGTGGTTTGTACTGAACATTTAAATATAATTATATACAATAATATATGCTGAATTTCTTGAAAATAGCTTGTCAAATGTAAAAGTTTTCCATACATATAGTGGACTTTGATCACTCAGTTCTTTCTTCGGATTTTCTACCGTTGCGTCCTTCTGTGTGTTACAAACTTCGTGACAAACTTAATATACGCCGTGCAGGCTATAACAAAATCAAGAAGTAGAATTCAAAAAAAGAGAGTAATAGTCTTTAGGTGATTATACCAGTTGTTTATTCGATACGCCACACGCCGAATTTTGGCGAAGACATTTAGTAGAAAATTCGAATTCATTTGGCATTACAAAAGTTAGCTYGTTGTTTTTGCAGGTAAGTTCAAATTATTAATAATTCCAGTGCACAAAAATGTAATTATTTCAAATGGCAAATTTGGCAACTGATCTTTTTATTTATTTTTTGTTAATTTTCTATGTTCATGCATTTCCAAAGACGCAAGCAGACGAGACGCCCACAACTAGCACTAAACGTAAAAGCGGTAGCTTCAACAAATTTCGCGATAATACGGTACATATAAAACAGGAAATATTTTTCTAATAAATTGTACWTTTTTTTTAATACACAGAAGCGCCGTTTACAGTTACGAAATAAGCGACTGAACCGAAGCACAACAAGCAGAGATGTAACGAGTGCCAGCCAGAGAGTTACCAAAAAGCTTCTGCGTACCATCAGACGACGTCAGTTACAAAATCAAAACAAATCAAAATTACAGCGTAGTTTGAGAACGAAACTGAATATGGCTAATAAATGCGCCGCTCCAACGCCCAACTTGCACAATTTAAGTCTGGAAGAAGGCGAATTAATCTCGGATGACGAGGYTAATAATGTCAATTTAGCTGCGAACACGTCCACGGATAATGAGGATGACTGCATATGTGTTGAGCCACAAATCGAACAAATCATCATTGATGATGATCTGCCCAACACATCGCGTTCGAAAGTAAAAAATAACAATTCTTCCGGCTATGTTTCCATAATATACCGCATTAATGGGCGTGGCACTCAGGACGCCGGCAAATTACTCACTTCAACGCCTTGCGGTGGCGCAGCAGCACGAAGTTCTTCACAAAGGAGCTTAGAAGATTTCACTGATTTAACTACCATGTTCTACGAAGATGTCTCTAGAATTAAKACGCTAGACWGTATTAGATCGGAGGACACTTTCTCGAATTATACGCAACCGTCGAAAGTACTTRGGAATCCAAAGTCGACCTCGAGAAACCGTAGAAGAAATAAAAAGAAAAATCACACTGTTACATCGAAAGATGTCATAGTTCTGGATGACACCGTCAATGATTCCACGCTAAGACCTGCCTCAAATGCAGTAAATAGCAAAAATCAAGATGTGGGGATGGACGATTCCGTGATTTTCATCAGCGAAACCACCCGAAAATCAAATAGCTCCTCGTCTGCATTAGATTTTGTGCCGCTCAGTAGTAAAGATGTGCCAAATGTAAGTGAAATCAGTGCACACATTTATACACCAGCACTTATTTTGAATTTTGCATATTAATATTTGTTTATCATAATTTTGCAGCCTATTGTAGTTCCAGTGAGTCCGCCACGCACGCCGAGAAGAGCGGCTGTGAATAGTGGCCTCTTTACAACCAGCGAGAAAAAGGCATTGCTGGCGTACAATAACAACACATACAATCCAAATGCTGGTGATTCAAAAGCGGCAGAGCAACAATCCCCGAAACGCTTAATACTCATCGATGGCTGTAATGTTGCATTTAAGTAAGTTTCTATCATTCATGAATTTTTATCAAACATATTACATATTCAACAATGTATTTATAAACTATTTTTAGTTTATTGATTTAAAATTATGACTTTGGAAAGTGACTTTATTTAATGGTAATAAGTTTGTCAGAAAAATAATTTTCTGAAAGCTTTGTGGTTCTTTATATGATAGCGTTGAGCCTAACGGTTATACCCTAAACAGGGTATATTACATTTGGCTCAAATAAATATAATATAGTATATAAATGCAAAATGATATGGGAATGCTCCAAGGAGCATTAAGACGTCCTTCCTCAACTGCGTCGACGACATAAAACAATACGCCGACCTGACTTCGGACGCAACTAAGTTGCACTGACCGCCWTTCACAGTGGAGCCATTAACACCTAAACCGGTTTCTTCTCAGTGAATAGCGTACTTGGAGTCAAACCACCACCCATTACAGACGAAAAGCTCGAGTTGCCGCGAGAAACGATAGTGACCCTTGCACAGCTTCGTTCTGGGTAATGTAGCAAGTTGAACTCATATTTATGCAGAATAGACCCCGACGTATCTAATATATGTCCTGCGCGCACTGAGTTTCCGCATGACACTGGCCACACCTTTGCATGCTCAACTAACCCCACTCAACTCAAATTCCTCTCGCTTTGATGTGATCCCGTGGAAACAACACGTTTTCTGGGTATACCATTGGATGACATTGGTGGCAACTTATTTAATCCTTACCATCCTAACGGGGATTTCGTATCCGTTTCAACAACAACAACCAACGATCGATAGACTTCTTGTTTGCAATCTTTTGTAATTCTGAAGAGTGTTATAGCTYCGGAGCAACCGCGGTTAACATTTTTATTCTTGTTTTATATAAAATGTTGCTTCGAGGTTTTTCTTTTTAATTTTAACCAGCTACTTACCACTCCAAACGGAGTTAGATTGCCAAAATGACAGCCCCTGAATGCAGCATTACTTATCATTGTCTCCTAAAACATTTTTAATACCAAATTTTTACGAACGACTTATACATATAATTACTTTTTTAACTAATAAAAATACAAAAATCCATTTGAAACCTCCATTGCAGCCACGCTCTTAACAGAGAATTTTCAGTGAAGGGTTTGAAAATTTGTATTGATTACTTTGAAAAAATGGGTCATGAAGTCAAGGCGGTTGTGCCGCAATTTCGTATGCATAAATGTTCCGACTCCGCCGCCATGTTCGAATTGCACAGAATGGGCAAAATTGTGGTTACACCATGTAAAAATTTACCGGGAAAATTCACCGTTAGTTATGACGATCGGTAAGTACAGAAAGTAGCGATGACAAGCAAATGAAATAGCCAATTTCTCCCGCTTCCAGTTTTGTCTTGCAGCTGGCTGCTGAAATGGATGCAGCWATTGTCTCCAACGACAACTACCGAGATCTCATAAACGAAAATGCCGCATTTAAAAAACTGATTGAGAATCGCGTTATCGGCTTTACCTGGTGCAATGACTTATTTATGGTAGCCAAAGATCCGTACGGCAAGTGGGGGCCCTCATTGCAAACCATTTTGAATAGAACGTAAACCAAATACTTTTAAGTGTGTAATTTTGTACTTTAGTCTTAGAGAGATTATTACTYACATATTTCTATATCTATATATTTTTTCAATTGCGGCCAAGTCCGCTTTTTGTATATATTAAACATCTCCTTTTTATATTTACGTGTATTAACTTGCAGTTTGTAAAGAGAAAACAAAAAAAAAATGGATACAAGCCTTGATTTGAATACTTCATTTATTATTTATATTTATAATTGATATTAATTTTATTAATAAAAAATGAAATAAAAGAATCATTTATCTGCTTTCATAGACAATAAGCGTAAAGAACGCCGCCTCTTCACATCCCCTTTTCGACTACTTTTCAGTGACCCTGTTGACTTTTTGTTGACCTCTTTCGGTAATGTTGGCTTTGTGTCATCGCTTTGCTTCTTGGTAGCTTTTAGCAGTTCCTTCGATTCTGTTACCTGATTGTGGTTCTCGATTAGTTCGACAACTTCTATGTATGGTTCAATAAGAATACAGTCTTCTTCGTTTTTACGATGTGGTTTTTTATTGCCTTTTCGTTGTGTTGTTTCTTTGCTGTTGTCTTTGAATTGCTTAGTGCTCTTTGGTTTTGGCATATTATATGGACCAAGTATTAAATTACCGTAATTACTGATATGTATGTATGTCGCCGATTTTTAAAATTCTATTTTACATAAAGGGTACGGAAAAAAATTTATGATTTTTGACAACAAAAAATGAAAGCAGTATCGCATCGCATATGTTTATGTATATATATATATATTTGATACAGAGTACAGTATATAGTATGTATGTATGAATTGTTAGTGGTGGATAACTTGTGTAATAACTCCTTATTCAGTAGAATTGTACAATCATACCGTTAGTGATCCCATAGTATGTATGTACGTATATAATTTTTATCACTGTAGCGGCTTTGGTGTTTCGCTGGCTRTGTTGAGCACAACTCTGCCTGTGAGTGCGGGATCGTTTGCGTTGTGCGTCAAGTCGGTTTGACTTTGGCCAATATCAGAGACACACGTTTCGATTGTCGTTGTGGAAGCAGTCATGGCATTAGCACCAGCTAAGGCACCTTCCTCCATCTGACGCAACTGTTGCTTTGCGTCGAGGTAATTTGCCATAGCGGACTCGTATGTTGGCGGATTGTCGCTTCTGGGCGCTGCGTTTCCTGCGCAGTCTCCGTTGGCCGGTGGGCTGCATGGATTACCACTGCSTTGGGCACGTAGACGAGCTGCGTTGCAAAGTAATAAAAAATTGAAATGTACATTAGAATGAGATAAATATTGCATATATTTAACTGTGTTCTTAAATKTCTTATAAGATTAAGCTTTTGCAARGTGGGACTTCAATAAGAGCCGATCAATAAACACCAGTGGTGTGACTAACGTATACCGCTCCAAAGATCAAAATGGCAAAATGTTGTCTACATTTCGGCGCAAAGACAAAACGACTTCATTTGTGAAAAACTACTCGTGCTTTTGGGTATGACTCACTAATGACAGTTAAAAACACACAGCTACGCTATTTAATGGAAATGTGTTTGTTTTCATTTAACCCAAATAACCCGCGCATTAAAATTCATGTGGTTCAGTACCTGTTGAACTTCCTTAACAAAAAAAAAAAAGAAGAAAACAACGTTAACTTCGGCTACATCGAAGCTATAATACCCTTCACAAATACAAAAACTGTGATCCGTCAGTTTATATGGGAGTTAAATGCTGTATAGACTCGACCACTACAATTCTTCGGAGATTGAGTCGTTTCTTTATTGACGCAGACACCGCTTACGCGCTTATAGCCGAGATTGTATCTTTACCTTGAACAATAATCCATGGCAAACTTTGGAAAGATATCTCATCAAATAAAAAAGTCTTCCATACAAGCAATTAATTCCGACTCCTGATCATTTATATACATATATGTTTATCCACCGAATTTTCCTTTTGGCTGCTACAAACTTTGTGGCAACCTTAAACCTGTTCAGGGTATAAATAACTGACGAGCGCAAAGGTATTCAAATAATACATAGAAATGTATGAGTGAAAAAAAATAATAAAAAAGACAATAAATATGCAGACGGGAGTGTGAGCATAGAAAAACTCACGCTGGGAGGTGCGACGTCCAATCTCTCAACGAGAGCCAAACGCATAAGCATTACGAGGCAGTCAGTCGAGTGTTGTTCCTCACGGTAAGCGCATGTGTTGTATGGCTGTGATAAGGTCAAAGTCGATGCTGTTGTCGTCATCGTTATTCTGCCAWCGTCGTCACCAATAAACGCAATGAATTAAATCAGTGTCAAAAGTCATGCAAACGACGGAGTTGTAGCATTAAGCGGSGTGCTCATTCATTTATTTAACGGCGCTTCACTGCCACGGTTCTTGTGTTGCAATTGATAGATTCTAACGATTTCACAAAAATTGGCAAGACTACATAATACTATGTAAGTGAAATTCGCACCGCTTACACCTAACGCATGTGTGTATGTATGTTTTTGTGCGCGCGTACTCGTAGGTTTGTGTTATTTAGAAAACGCAATCTAAATTATTTATTGTTTATGTAACCACGTCACATTGCCTCAGCAACGCACACTACTGCTACTGGCACTACCATGCCGTAGTTATTGAACGTTAAGCGATATTGCTGCTGGTTGTTATTGTTTTTACTGCCATGGCATTGTGGCTTGGCATTGGTGGAGTGAAAGTCACGAAAAAACAAACAATCAGCCGTGAGACAGTGTACACCATTCTCTGCAGTTACTTTTTGCGTTCCTCATGAGCGCTGCATGAAGATCTATTTTTTATTTTCTTTTTGTGTAATGCGTGATCAGCTGTTTGGCACGGCGCCTAAATATATACAAACACATTCGTGCAAGCAAATACATACATACATATTTTTTAACGCCAATGCTTGTGCGATTGTAATGTACTGTATTCTYCGTTTTTTGCCGTTCAGTTTCTTATCAGACCAGACTTGCCTGATAACGCATGRCAAATACTCAAAGTAGTAATGATGATTGATTAAAGTGACATTAAATCACAAGATTTGCAAATTTGCGTCTTTCAATTCAAAACATAATTATTTATAAAGAAAGTTATTCGAGTTACGCGCACAAAGCAATCTAAAAATGTTGTCCGATCCAAAATTTGGTCATACCATTTCGAAGATGAAAGAAAATAATGTTGGCATTTAAGRTTATTTCAAAAAATTTGAGTGAAAAATAGCGAGGGCGAGAGCATGGTACAGACGAAATCAAATATTACTCAGAGCATATGAGTAATTAGTTATTAAAAACATATGATAAATACTCGGTATTTGTAACAATTTTTAGATCCTGAAGAAGRCCGAGAAGGACCGCAGATCGTTTTTACCATTTTCCGCGCAAACTTATCATAGTAATATACCCACTCAAATATTTTTTTCTTCCCTATGAAAGTAGAGTATTCGACAAAAATAAAATCTACTGACTTTTTTAAAAAATCACAAATTTTTGCTTAAGAATTTTTGATTAAAATTAGGTATTTCGATTTTTAAAAAATCACAAATTTTTGCTTAAGAATTTTTGATTAAAATTAGGTATTTCGATTTTCGATTTTAAATCGAAATAAGGTTTCCTCCATAATATTTWAAACTAAAAATTGGTGCATAAGTTTCTCCTAATTTTGGTGAAAAAAATGTTTTCTTTAAGATAAAAATAAAAAGAACCATAAATATTAGATATTTCAATTTTTCACATAACTTTTGAGATATGTATATTCATCTCAGATAAAAAATGTATTCATTTTTTTATTAAAAACAACATTGCCAACTATAGAAGTCGAAGTTTTGCTGGAAGTCGAGATAAACAGTTCCCTTAAAATTTTCAACACCACCCTCCCCTACCTTCCACGACCTGAGATAGCACGTAAATTATTTTTCCTGTATTGTTTTTAGTATTTGTGGAGGATAATATGTTTAACCAATTTATAAGGTTTAACTTAACCTCAAAGTCACTCCATCTACTTTTTATAAACAGTTAATTGTCGGTAGAAATTAGATTAGTTAAGCTAAAAATTTTCACTCATACATGAAAATATAAAATTCTACGAATGTCGGTGGAGAACGTATTTTTAGCATATTTAATGCCCTGTCACAACACCTTATTAAAATCACATCACAATCCTCTATGTGTGCCCACTCGCACCCCATTTACCCTCTACGCAATATTTGCTGAACACATCACATTGCTTATCTTCTTTGTATTTACAGCTTCCTCACTTATCTTCCCTCGTACGCTACAAATCTGTTGCTTTTTGCCAGCTGAGTACACAGAAACGRGTCAACAGTGTGCCATAAATGTTCCGACGTGTCCTTTCGTACAGCATCATTGGCGCCGGCATCGTCAGCACCGGTCTCAGCCTACACACCAACGACTATGATGTCAATTCGTTGGGTATTGTGCGTCTCAGCCGTTCGGCAATCACCGTTTTCGATGTGGCGCTCACATACAAACGTGAACTCTACTATCGGGAGTGGGACAAAAGTACGCCCGAATACAAAGCGGAAAAGAGTCGTGTACATAAGATAGCCGCAGAAAAGCTGCTCGATCTCATCTGCGTCAATAAGGGTGTTTACATAAAGACCGGTCAACATATTGGTGCACTAGAGTACTTATTACCCAAAGAATTTGTGCAAACCATGAAGATACTACACTCGAATGCGCCACAAAACCCCGTCGAAGATCTGTATAAGGTCATACGGCAGGATTTGAAACGTAACCCCGAGGACATATTTGCGACATTCGAGCCGACACCGCTTGGTACCGCCTCACTAGCGCAAGTTCACAAAGCGACATTAAAGACGGGCGAGGTGGTCGCTGTCAAAGTACAACATCCTTATGTGAAGGGTAACTCACGTGTGGACATGAAAACAATGGAGGTTTTAGTGAAACTTATGGYGTTAGTTTTTCCCGACTTTAAGGTTCAATGGTTGGTCGATGAGTCCAAAAAGAATCTGCCTATCGAATTGGATTTCCTAAATGAGGGCAAAAATGCTGAAAAAGTTGCCAAACAATTCCAGAAATATGCATGGTTGCGCGTACCGAAAATTTACTGGGAACTAAGCACACCGCGTATACTAGTCATGGAGTATCTCGAAGGCGGACAAGTCAACGATCTCGATTATATTAAAAAGCATAAAATCGATCCATTCACTGTGTCCAATAAAATCGGCCAACTTTATTCGGAGATGATATTCACAACAGGTTTCGTGCACAGTGATCCACATCCAGGCAATATATTGGTGCATAAAAATCGAAATGGACAAGTAGAAATCGTATTATTAGATCATGGGCTCTATGCGAATCTAACGGACAGATTTCGTTATGAGTACTCCAAAYTGTGGCTTAGCATTCTGAATGTGGATCGCAAGGCGATGCGTGTACATAGTCAGAATTTGGGCATCAAAGGTGACTTGTATGGATTGTTTGCGTGTATGGTAACGGGTCGTCCTTGGGAGACGCTTATTCAGGGCATCAACAAAGTCAAATACTCCAAAGAAGAGGTTGGTAGTTACAGTACTGASTAAGCTTTCTTTAAACATATRATAATTTCTATAATTTCGTTATCAYACAGAAAGCCACGCTACAAAACAATACCTCACTCGTATTACCGCATATTTCCGATGTGCTGGAGCAAGTCGATCGTCARATGTTGCTCATACTGAAAACCAACGACCTGATACGCGGCATTGAGGCTACGCTTCGCACGCAAAACCGCATGACCGCCTTCTGGGTAATGTCCAAATGCTGTGTACATTCGACGTTCAACGAGCAGCGGTCGTTTAACACAGCGCGCTGGACCGCTCTGCGGTTGGCGGTGCGTGARAAATGGGAGATATTCAAATTAAACATMTACTATGTGTATTTAGGTATCGTGAATTTCGGTTTCTTGGCGGCATTAAAACAGATTTTATAGAGTTACGGGTAACTAAGTAACTATGGCTTAGCATGATCATGAAGATCAAATATTTCAAGTTTTTTCGTAATTGCTTTTAAAGTTTATATATGTATAAGTAAATTATGGTTGTATGCGTGTACATATGTATGTATGGATTGTGTTTATTTATTTTTTAACTTAAAAATAGCCATTTTTCGATGTGAAACTTTTTGCAACTAAACGACAAGGTAACTGCAGCGTACAAAACAATTTAAGTTATTACATAAGCTAACATCCAGCGAGTAATATAATAAATTATAACAACAATAAAATKTATGAATTTCTATATTGATAAATAAGCGAGTAAACGCACTTGGTTTGAAATTGTTTTCATTACAAATATTTGCTTAATATCCTTGTGGATATGGTTCATAATAGTTCGCCGTTATGTTGGTGGTAAAGTTTTCAAGAATGTGTGGGAAGTGAATATAAAATTGTTGGTGCGGATCATTTATGAATGGTCGGTAGAGGGAAATTTAATCGCTGGATGCTCTTTAAGCTCGTAAGAAAGCAAAACAACAAGAAACGAGAACTTCGATTGCATCGAAGGCATAAAACTTTGCAAACGATCAAGTATTSATTACAAAAATTTTATTTTGGGCGGTGAACTTATATGATAGCTATAGTGATATGATCTGAACAATATGCTTGAAATTGAAGCGTCGCCTTAAATATTCATGCCAATTTCGTGATGATAACTCTTACAAAAAAGTTTTTCCATACAAAAACTGGAAAGTGTAAGTATGAAGTAGTAATGAAGAAACTCGCTGCTCGAGCAAAGACGCTTGAYTTAACCGTTGCCAAAATCGATCACATCCTAAACGCAGTCTTCTCCACACACGAAAAAAGGGTTAGTGATCCAGAACAGACCCTAGGGAAAAAGGAGATCCCAACATGCTATCAACATACCGTCYACTATGCATGCTTGACACAGCGGGAAAGYTCWAKGGAAGGCTACTGAAACCCAGACACGAAGCGGCTATCAATAAAGCTGGATAACCCTTTCCAAAAAAACACGGCCATAGATCCTGTTGATTAACTCTAGGAGGTAAAAAATGCGGCATTGAAAGTGTAGCGGAGAGGGCATAAATAAAAAAAAGGTGTTACTGGAGACTGTAGATGTCCGAAACGCCTTCAACAGCGCTAGAAAGRTGGATATGATCGACATTCTCGAAAAAAAGCTTTAAAATCTCCGACTACCAGTGCAGAGAACCTTAGTAACAGAAAACACAAGGATCCATTCTAGGCCCAGACTTGTGGAACATCAGCTACAACGCTATGCTAAAACACGAAATGTCCCTCAGAGTTGCATCAGCCTACCGAACAGTGCCCTGTTCCAAGCACCAATTGACCTTCTGGCATATGAAAATAAAAAGCTGTGGGAGCTAAATAAATCATCCGATAATAGCAAGCGCTCAATTCAACAAACAAGTAAAGACAATATGGCAACAAATAAAATATCTAGACTTATTCTTTGAATATGTGCGATGGATAGAAATGGCTAAATAGACTCAACTTGGAAACAACTATAATCACCAAACACATTTAAAATACGTAGGATACCTGAAACCCTAGGTAACTAACTCATCCATCTTCTACTGGTCAACTGTAGACCAGCGGGAGTGGCTTAATAGTGGAGGCTCGTGATGACGCAAAATCGGGTAGATGCTGATAGGATAAGTATATTGCTGTTAAGTGAGTAAGTAATTACCTCACCAAAACCATTAAACTTAAAGTGTACAATTTTTATAAAGATAAAAAAGCGGAAGGGAGATATCATTACCAATTTATTAGGTTGTCAAATATCTAAATTGGTGATGATATTAAATATATCCCTTCCGCTTTTTTGCTCTTTATTCAATGCTTTATGAAAAGTGTTACAGCAATCGGAAATATGCGCCGTTTCGTTCGATAATCTGTTTCCATCTAGACGGCAACATCATTATACCCCCTTTAGCGGATTTGCCTTTCGGCGTTAGTGAACTCCATGTTTACACGTCTATAGCTCTTGAACGCAATATCCAAACTAATCATTCATGTAGGTTATGTCAAGACCTTTCAAAGATGTATTGTAGCGCTTTATACATATTAGCRAAATTCAAAAGACAAAAAGGCGGAAGGGAGGTATTTTCGAACCTCAATACTTTTTGATAAAACAAGTTTTAGGGTTACAAATACTATGAGATTTCTCACCAAATGTTACTGATACTTGGAAAATATTCTGCGTTTATCCTAGACTCAAATAAAACTTCTTTGACAACGTTAAACAATTCCCAGCTATTTGCTTTASTGCACTTTGTAATATGGACCATTCTTCCGCCGAATCCGTACTGTAGCAAAAATAAATCTAGTTTAGGATCTTTAATTTATACCTGTACTTGTATATTCCTAATGACTTCCAGCCCGAATATATTCACACTTTCACTTGCTACCATTAAGGCTGCTAACATAAGTTGTGATAATCACCAATCTAATGCGTGATAAACTAGTTACGAGAAAAGTGTAGAAATGTGATCGCTTGAAAAAAGTTATTATGATGATGAATCATCTCAAGAGATCAAGAAGTATTAGCAGTGTAATTCTGTGATACGTTAGTTCAATTTATGCTGATTCTTCATRTTATCACCTTAAGTTAGATGTAAATACACACTGTTGGGGGGATTATTGAATTTTTCAGTTATGCAGTCTACAGTCCAGCATTAGATGGCACTTTTGATAGGATTTAAAAATTTTCAGRCACATTGCACTGTTCCGACGAATTGACTTCGAATTTAGTAAGGATAGTACTTARAAAGAATTAGGAGACAATCGAGAAGATGTATTTGTAGACTTTTAGACTTGATTTATTGTCATTTCTTAACTAGCAGACTTACTCCGGATCGATGTTTGCAAATTGTGCAAATTTATAAACGAAATTTTGTTTTGGTTCGCGTACCGAGATGGAGCGGTGCCCATCTACTTTATAGAAGGTTTTTAGAAAGGGGTTTGGTTTACGGGCTTACAAAAACCCAACTCGTGTAAGTCGAAGGACCATCAAGCTCGACCACCGAACCCGATTTTCAAAACAATTTATTCAGCGTTGAAACTCACGTTTGGATGAAAGGGTTCGTTAATAAAATAATTCTTACATTTTCAAAGATGATAATAATATGCCATTGTTGAGGAGTTATCCTCAAAAAGTCACTGTTGTAGGGAATCATTGACATTTCAAAAATAGAGCCATGATTAATGAGGTTTTGGTGCTTGAATCGGAGAATGTTGTTGGCGACGACGTTTGGTCGCCAACCAACAATTGAAACAATAAATTTATTGAAGGAGACTTATACGGCCCCACTGCATGACTACTTTTTGTCGGTTTATCTGAATTTTTTTAACTACATAGGTAAAACTGAGATGATGAAATCACTTATTACTTGGAAGAGAATATTCGAGAAGTTATTGCTAACATATGACCCCAATTGCTGCARCAAAAACGGTGCTGGAGTTTATTCGAGCCCGTGGCGGCTCGAAGGGCTAAGTTCAAGTCTAACCGAGCATTTTGTACTATAACAACTTGCAAGGAACAAAGCCSACAAAATACTTAATCAAAGGTGTTGACAAAACTGTATATTAAACTACTTTGTCCGATATATAAGACATAAAGTCAACGGGAAGCTCGAAAATTTTGATATTAGGTACATACATACATATATGGGTGCTAAATGAAGTATTGATCCAATTTAACCCATTTTGGACACAAGGGCATATTATTATCACAGAAACTTTTCCTCGGAATTCTAATAATGTMTCTCACAGATAGACGGGTCATTTCGAAGAATATCCAGATACACTGATTGATTATTGAATTATATATTGGAAAATGATTTAGACTTCTGGCTATTCAGCAAACTGAGACGACTGCACCGAGGTTATCGTTTTGAGATAATTGAAGACATTAAACGTGAATTGCTACGCGCATTTAAAGCTATTCCGGAAATTGACTTTAACAACTATTTTGAAGATTACAAAAACGACGGTACCATGGTATAAGTGTATTGGGGCCAAGAGAGGGACGACATAGATTTTGGAGAATAAATTAAAAATATAAGACACATTTTGCTATTTCCACAGATATATGTATACTATTACAAAAGTATGTACATAAGTCAAAAATAAAAATAAAAAAATCTTTAAATCTCTACATAACATCCCTTAACGGGATATGGTCAGTTACCTCTTTGCTTTTGTTCCGCAAAACGTTTCGCACGTAGACGGGTACCCTTCTTGGTATAACGGTATGCATATGCGTGATAAGAAAAGTAAAATGGAATTAGCACAGTTCAAGGTAATCCACACAATATACGATTTGTTCGGAAAGTAATAGGACTGAGTCGATTTAAAAGAAATTATTGAACCTATCGTAACAATTCTCTAAAAGCTTTCAAAAATAGGCTCCTTCTGCATCGATGCAACGCTGCCAGCGCGATTTCCAAGCATTGAAGGCGTCAGGGAAGGCATTCTCCGGAATAGCCTTGAGAGCCGAGGTGCATGTTGCTTGGATACCCTCTGTCGTGTCTAAATGAATCGAGGGTGCAACATCTGGACTGTAGGGCGGCTGCGGAGGCGTTTGAACGCCGTCCTTAGTTAGATAGTTGTTCTCAACAAAGGCGGTGTAGCCGGAACGTTGTCATGGTGCAACTTCCAATCGACTGATATGTCTTCTCGGAYCCAATKGACCCTTAGTTGAGTCTCTTGAGGACCTCCACGTTAAACTTGGCGTTGACGGTTTGTCCAGCTAGAACAAATTCATGGTGGACGATGCCTTTGATGTCAAAAAAGACAATCGCATCGTTTTCACTTTCAGCGACCTCTCCCCGGCCCTCCAAAAAGGCATGGTGCCACCGAAACATACCACTTCTCTGTCGCAGATTTACCGAATTAGGCACAGAATTTAATCACGTACCTCTGATATAATGAACGCTGCATTTTCGGCTTGCACAACTCATGGAAACACGTCGCGCSAAAATGTTTGTGCGGACTGACCTGCCACTCGTTCGTTAGCTAGGAACGCGACGGAAGAAGATCAGTCCTATGACTTTCCGGACAAACCCCGTATACCATAAAACATACATTTTTATATATTTACGTACATAAATTACTCCAATGGTAAACAGAAGGAAAACGATTACATATAAATAAAATAATTCATCCCATTCCCAAATATTGCCATAGGTAATAATGGTCGRGTCGGTGGGAAATTGAATTTCGCAACACGGTACCGTTGTACTGACTGTTGGACTGACTGTTGTATTGACTG